ATCACAAGGAAAAGAAATCGAATCAGCCTGGCCAATGTGGCGAAACCCATCTCTACTAAAAGTACAAAAATTAGGCAGGCGTGGTGGCACGCGTAATCCCATCTACTCGGGAGGCTGAGGCAGGGGAATCGCCTGAACCCGGGAGGTGGAAGTTGCAGTGAGTAGAGATGGCTCAGTTGCACTCCATCCTGGGTGACAGAGCAAGACGCTCTCAAATTTAAAAAATGAAAAAGAAATAAAAGTAAATCAAAGAGGCCGGGCCTGGTGGCTCACACCTATAATCCCAGCAATGGGAGGCCGAGGCGGGTGGATCACAAGGTCAAGACGAGACCATCCTGGTCAACAAGGTGAAACCCCGTCTCTACTAAAAATACAAAAATTAGCTGGGCATGGTGGCGCGTGCCTGTAATCCCAGCTACTCAGGAGGCTGAGGCAGGAGAATTGCCTGAACCCAGGAGGCGGAGGTTGCGCCATTGCACTCCAGCCTGGGTGACAAGAGTGAAACTCCGTCTCAAAAAAAAAAAGTAAATCAATGAAAAGAACTTGTCTTGGTCTCTCCTGCCTTGTGCCCCTCAGCTGATTTCTTTCTTCTGAGGAGGGAAGAGTTGAGGTGGCTGCAAACCCTCACGGATTTGCCACCACCAACATATTTTCATGCCCCGTGACTCAGACACATTCCACTGCTAAGACAGTTTTTCCGAAGGTGATTTTACATTTTCAAAACTGGACAGATGGGATTTGCCCATATTAACATAAGTCTTAACTAAACATCTGAAAAGACAGTGGGCTGTCATCTAATCTCAGATGGAGGCACAGATGAGAACTTGGCAGAATGTGGGCACTGAGGATGCTGGTAATGGGCACGGAGGGGCTGATGACTTTGGTCTCCATTTATTATTTTTGCCAAAACACAGGTACATAAACTTCTTCGAGCTCCAAAAAAGGTGCTGTGTGTTAAAAACAGGAGCTTTGAATGAAGAGACCTTCCAAACAGGCTTTGTGTGTGCAACATGGCTGTTTATTCACCTGGGTGCAGGTGGGCTAAGGCCAAAAAGGGCGTTATTGAAGGGCGGTGGGATTTGGTTTTACAGGTGGTTTGGGGCGGGCAGTGGGAAGTTAGAGTGAGATCAGTTACAGTGGTGGGGACTGGGAAGGAGTGTACGTTACAGTAAGTAGTTACAATGGCACGTGGGTAAGAGTAGTCAAGATGGCGGGGTGGGGTGAGGAGTGTTCACATTATCATAATAACAGGATGGCAGGTGGGTGGATGTCGGGGAAGCTCTGCTGGGTGATCAGGGATAATGGTGGTGGCAGGCGGTGTGTGTGTGTGTGTGTGTGTGTGATCAGCTGAGGCAGGCGGGACTGCAGACTCCCTGGGGCTCGTACATGGAGGCTGACACTGTGATATGGCTGGCCTAGGGTTAGAACCTGTATAATGCCATTTTATAAAAGACAAAACTGTTTCCATTCTCCTCACAATGACTGCTAACCTTGGCTTCTGTAAACTGCTAGTTTACTTTGTAAAGAGGTAAAGCTGCATACCTTCTCTTATCTGTAACTATCAGAATTGCTGGCCTCTGTTTACCGGTACTGACCAGAGTAAGCACCCCCAGATAATTCCATCCTGGCGCCAAGCAACTGAAAAATCTGTGGACCGCACACCTGTCCAAATAATGTATAAACTAATGTTTATCTTAACCTCTGTAAACCACTTAGGTGGCAATCGGAATGACAAAAGTCCCCTGGCCCTTGGAACGTCTGGAGCCCCCTCACCCTCGTCTCAGCCGAGGAGGTGATTGACAGCTTTCACTCCCATCCCCACTCCTCACCCCCACTCCCAAGGGGTTTTGTGGGTATAAAAAGGTCTTGTCACCCTTCTTTCTCTGCCACGGGTTGGAGAGAGGTGAGTCCTCCGTGGTCGCCGGCAATAAACCCTGCAATTTGGCATACTTTTGTCCTGGTGTTGACTTTCTGTGCTGGGTCCGATACAACAACACTATGGTTAGACTTTGTGTCCCAACCCACAGCTCATCTTCCTTTATAATCACAATCCACACAATCCCCGTCTATCCAGGGAGCAACGAGGTGCAGGGAATTGGCTCACGGGGTGGTTTTCCTGTGCTGTTCTCCTGATAGTGAGTTTCCTAGACGTCCGATGGTTTTATGAGCGTTTAATAGTTCCGCTGTCCTTCATTCTCCTTCCTGCCAAGTTGTGAAAAAGGTGCCATGTTTCCCCTTCCAACTTCTGCCATGATTGTGCGTTTCCTGAGACTTCCCCAGCCATGCTGAGCAGTGAGTCAATCAAACCTCTTTCCTGTATGAATTACCCAGTCTCAGGCAGTTCTTTAGGGTACGGTGGAAAGAAACTAAGTCAAAGGCTAAACCCCCATCCACATATGGAGGGGCATCTGGCCTGGGCATCTGGAATCTGCATCCAGACCTGCCAGACCCCTGAGCCTGCAGAAGCACCCCACAGTTCCGATTAAGAGCCAGCCCTCGCCCTTGCTTGGAGTCACTCCTGGGCCCCCCAAATCGCACACCAACCCCCCTCCACCCAATTCCCAACAGGCCACTGCTGGTCATGGAGCCTGCTTCGAGACAAGCAAACTCCCCACAAGCTTTGCAATCTCCTCTCTAAGGCCACACACTATCACTGCGGAGTAGGGTGGGGTTTGAATTTCCTGTGGAAGGTATTTTGGAATCGTCTTTAAAGCACGGGGAGTTTAGGGAGGAAGAAGCTGCAGGGCGCAAAGAGGGAGGCGGGATTCTGAGGGGCAGGGGTGCAACTGAAACCGTCTTTGCAAAGATTACAACTGAGAATATCACGCCAGCGAAAGAGACTTGACCTGACTGACTCCGTCTGGCTCCTCACCTCCAGACTGTCCTTGTTCATCCCTGGGCTTAGGCTAAACTAATTTGGGAAAAACAGTTTATACATTAAGGTTGACCAAACCCCCTTCCTGCCTGGGGACTAGACCGCCTCTGCAGGCCTAACAAGTCAGCCACAAGAATAGAAATTATGCCGGGTGCGGTGGCTCAAGCCTGTAATCCCAGCACTTTGGGAGGCCGAGGCGGGTGGATCACGAGGTCAAGAGATCGAGACCATCCTGGTCAACATGGTGAAACCCGGTCTCCACTAAAAAGAAATACAAAAAATTAGCTGGGCGTGGTGGCGCATGCCTGTAATCCCAGCTACTCGGGAGGCTGAGGCAGGAAAATTGCCTGAACCCAGGAGGTGGAGGTTGCGGTGAGCCGAGATCGCGCCATGGCACTCCAGCCTGGGTTAACAAGAGACAAACTCCGTCTCAAAAAAAAAAAAGGGGGAAAAAAAAAGAATAGAAATGACGGCTTAGGGGTCATGCAGCTGAAGGACACAAGATTCTGACCCCACCCGCAGCCGCCAAATTGCTCCCGGGATGACGTCACCGCTGTAGAACCCGGGATCAGGGTTTGAGACACGTTAAGGACCCTGCGCTCAGGGAGGAGCTGGCGGCCCCCAGATCCACAGCCTGGCTCACGTGGTCCTACCACCACCACCCCAGAACTCAGTCGGGGTTAGGAAGACAGTGGGACTCCCCGAGACTTCCTCTCCAACCGGACCCCTCAGCACTCCCTACCCACCAAATCATCCCTAAAAAAGCTTTTCTGAAGAGACTGATGTGCCTTGGGATAAATCTGCGGCCGGCCCTGCGTGAATTACACTTTTCTTATTGCAATTCCCCTGCCCTAGGCGACCCATGGGCTGTGTCCTGGCACCTAAATGAGACCCACTGTGGGGTCACAGGGCCGGGCTCCTGACCCCCAAGTCCTGGACCCGGGCGGGAACCCCCGCCCAGCGAGGGGCCCAGGAGACGCGGAAATCGGGGTCCCCGAGGGGAAGGGGAGGTGGGAGCGGCGGAGGGTAGAAAGGCCCGGCGGGGTCGTGCCCGAGAGAAGGGAGAGCGGCTCGGTCCCCGCCAGGCGCCTGAGTCCCGGGTTCGCGTCCCGCCCGTCCCGCCCACCGCGCCTGGGCCCGGGCTGCACCTGCGCCGGCCGCCGCCAGGGGCGCCGCTGAGCTCCCGCCTCCGACCCGGGAGCGCTTCCGAGTGCGCCCTTAGCGCCACCTCCGGGAGACCCCCGAGGGGAGCGGGCTCCTCCTACGCGTCCATCGCCCTCTGCGGCCCGGGCCCTGGGGTTACCGCGCGGCTCCGGGGCCGGGAGGGGGCTCGATCCACACCCGGAGTCGGGATGGACGGCGGGGCGCGGCGCGCACGGAACCCCAACTCCACCGCGGCTGCCCGTGGGGCACCCCAGATGCCACCCCGGAGACCGGGCCGGGGGAGGGAGCTGGAACCACGTCCAGCAGGGGGGCGCTTTGCAGGACTTCGCACCCGGGTAGAGTTCACTCCGCTGGGGGCGGCTGCGCTCCTCAGCCGCTGTCCCCACCGCGGGGGAGCAGGGACCACGTCCGCTCGGCTGGAGGAGGCACCTGGGCCACCCAGGAGGGGCGACGAGGCCCGGGACCCCTCCGTGCCGCACTCCGCACAAAGTCCCCGTCCCTCCCACGGGGGCTGCGCTGCCCACGTCTCCAGGACTGGCTGCTCCACAGCTCAGAGGCAGGAAGCTCGGTGCTCCCTCCACCTGAGGAACTCAGGCCAGGTCCCCAGCAGCACAGAGCAGGGCCTGGGAGCAGCTGGGCAGCCGGTGCCACCTTGCCCCTCAATGTCCCTACAGGAGGCTTAGGCCCTTCCCTCTCTGTTGAGACCACAGCCTGGGTCACTGACAGGCCGAGAGTGTGGCCTTGGGCCCAGGGTGTCCAGGACTCAGCACTGACGTTCCGAAAAGTGCTCACCTTGACTAAGAGCTGAGACTCTCCAGGACACAGGAACCCCTCCCAGGGTCCTGGGCCCAACTGCTGCCCACAGCAGGAGGCCAGAAGCCACAGGCCTGAGCACCTGCTCCTCCGGCAACCAGGCTCGGACCCTCCGCAGGAGCCCTCCCCAAGTGAGGTCGCAGCCGCACCAGGAACATGTGCACTTTATTGAACACAACTGTGGAAAAGTGTGTGAGGGAAAAAGGCTGATACAGGATCGGCTGGGGGCAGGGTGAGGAATGGAAGCGGGAGTGCGTGGGAGACAGGTCCCGGGCAGAGCCCCTGGCCGGGATGATTCCTCTGATCTACTGATAGGCTTGCAGAATCAGTATTGGGATGATGATCAGCAGAATGGTCGTGAGGATGCCCAAGATCAGGGCCCAGATGTTCAGGCACTTGGCGGTGGAGGCGTAGGCCTGGGCCCCGGTCAGGTCGCCAACCATCTTCCTGTCCCTAGACTGGGGCGGAGGAGACAGTGAGGGGACCAGGAGCCCTCAGGTAGGAGCCACGTGCTATGGCTCAGGCTCCCCCCAGGCTCCTACCTGCCCTGAGATCAGGGAACACTCCTCCCCTTCCTCACCCAGACCTCAGACTCTCCAGGAGCCTCGGGGCTCAGCCCCCCTCTGCCTTGGCCCCAGCACAGGCTGTTCTCTCCACCATGGGGAGAAGTCACCTGCGAGTTCCCTCTCACTTTCTGGGGCAGCCTGGGTGCCAGTCTGGAAGGTGAGGGTGTCATTTCTGGCACTGGGTTATAGGGAGCTTTGCTCTGGGCTGCTGGATCGGGAGACTAACTCTGAGCCAGCCCGCCTCCTGGAGCCTCCTCCTAGACCTGCACTGGGCAGCTTCCCCAGGCCACACACACACAGGTCACTCAGACAAAGCTACAGATGTGGGCACACACAGGACAGAGGTGCACACAAACTCACACTCACGGGGACACACAAGCCCCACCCCAGGTGGCACCTGGGCAGGTGGAGCTCCAGGCTCCCCGGCACCCCCTGGACTTCCCCGGGGCCACACGCACCTTCACGGAGTAGGCGAACGCTATGAAGCCCAGGCAGCAGGAGTTCATGAAGAGGGTGTTGAACAGGGACCAGACGACGTGGTCGGGCACGGAGGTCTCGCTTCGGATGTGGATCACGGTGGATGTCGGGGGCGCAGGGTTGTGGGGCGCCCCCAGCGCAGCCACCTCATGTTCCTCCTTCAGCATCTCATAGTCCGGGGGACGGCTGGTGCTGGCGGGAGTGAAGAAGGTTTGGACCGTGTGGTTCATGGTGTCCAGGGAAGACTGGCCGTGGTCGGGTAGCTGGGATGCTTCTCAGTGGTCCCTCCCCTTCCCTATTAGTTTCGATTTCTCAGCTATTTTCTTTTCCTGGCCTTTGTCAAATCAGGACTTGGCTGGGGCCAGATGAGGGTGGAACAAAGCCCGGGGGATCGAATTACTTTGGGGCAGGGAGGGGCAGGGAGGGAGGGGCTGAGGGCTGAGCGGGGCTTCCTCTCTTCTTCCTCTCGTGCAGTACAGGCTTCCTTTCTAGAGCCCAAGGCAGCGCAAAGTCTTATCTGACCCCAACTCAGTTGGGAGTCAGTTTAGAGGGGCGGGGCCCTGGAGACTTCCTCTATGTGGAGTCTCCACACCCCAGGCTGGCAGCTTCGGGACCTCACTGTCCGGGTTCAGGGCTCCTGCCAGGCGTGTTCGCCAGGCCCCAGAACAATGACCCAAAGCCCTCAAGTCACTTGTCACAGTCATCATCTGCTGAAATCCCTTGTCCTTTCCTGGGGTGGCGGTCCTGCCCCGTATGGCTTTGGGGCTCAAGTTGCCGGTATCTCCTGGTGCAGGTCGGAGGCCTGGTGCTTCTCCACGTTGCACACCTTTGCTGCAGGCTGTTTTCCAGGCCACAAAGCAAGGGTTATGTCTAGATAGTAAAATATTAAGGCCTCATACTAAATGCCCACTAGAAGGAGTCAGTCCTCGGGCCTGGCTCCCTAAGTCCTCTTCTTTCAGCCAGACAGAGTGAGTTGAAAGGTTTGGCCATGTCCAGCCCTCCTCATGAGTTTTACCCCAGGCCACGTCTCCCTGAAACTCAGGATGGCCCCAGCTTCTGTGTCTGGCTCTGCCATGGGGACATCATGGTCTGAAGTGTCCCACTGAGGTCCAACTTCTCCCTTACCCACAGCAGACCCAAGGAGGAGCAGGTTCCTCCTTCATCGGGTCCCCTTGGATTGACTGCAGCCCTTGACGTGGACAGAGCGACAGGCCTTGGGGAAAGGTGGGGCAGGAAGAGGGCCAGGGCAGCCTGTCTGCTCCGTCTGTGTGTGCACATCCACGCTGCCATGATGCCTTGCTGCTCGCCCCACCCCTTCTCTTACTTGGTGGGTCCGACAGGGCCCTGCTGGTGGTGGACAGTTTTGCCACAGGGCCACAGATTGGCCACCGTCTATCTTTGGCAGCATTTGCCAGGTCAGCGTCCACACCTCCCAGGCTCCAGGCTGGCTGCTAGGCCACACTTGGTTGGTCTGCACCAAACCGTACCACCCACCAGGGGCCGTGGGATCTGTGGGGCCACACTGCTAAGGAAAGGGAGGGTCACTGGGACCAGCACCCGGTACCCACCAGGCTCCCAGGGCACCACTTCCTTCTGCTCCTTCCCAGATGAGACCTTGTTTTGTTTGACTCTCCCAGCTGGGGCAGGTGGGGAAGCAGTTTCAGAGACTCCAGCTGCCTTTCCCCCATGCAATGGCTGCTGCCCCCCAGGCCACTGACAGCTCGAGGGGCTGTGCCCACCTGCATTTCTCCCTATTCCAACTACATATTTTGGGAGTGGGAAATGCTTGGGGGGATGGTCCGTGGACCAGGGCCCCCCAATTCCTTGGTCCCCCGATTCCTTGGCCCCCTGTGTCCCATGTGGGCCAGTGGCCAGGATGAGGCTTCATGTGTCAGGATCCTGGCCGGCCCCTGTGTCCAGCGTGGCCTGAGATGCCTGGATGCCCCCTTTCCTCAGGCCCCATGATCCAAGTGGATGGCCACAAGCTCCTCGGGAAGGACTGAGGCCTGGTGGGGCACGGGGTCTCCTCCTGGGACCTGCAGCCTCACTGAGTGGAGGGGCTGGGTGGAAGACTAGCTGATGTCTGGTAGGCAGTCTTTTCTATCTATTGGTGAAGAAAGTGAAGCTCTATCAAGTATGTAAAGAGGTTTGTTCTGAGCCAGATATGACTGCCCATGGCTCATGGTACAGCCTCCAGAGTTTGTCCAAACGTGCACCAGAGGTGGCCGGGAGACATGAGGCATCGATCGAATGCATTTGAGAAATAGAGTGATTTGTCCAGGCATGGTGCCTCACGCCTATAATACCAGCACTTTGGGAGGCTGAGATGGGTGGAACAGGAGGTCAGGAGATCGAGACCATCACGGCCAACATGGCAAAACCCCATCTCTATTTTTTTTTTTTTTTTTGAGACTGAGTTTCGCTCTTGTTATCCAGACTGGAGTGCAATGGCACGATCTCGGCTCACCGCAACCTCCGCCTCCTGGGTTCAGGCAATTCTCCTGCCTCAGCCTCCCGAGTAGCTGGGATTACAGGCACGCGCCACCATGCCCAGCTAATTTTTTGTATTTTTAGTAGAGACGGGGTTTCACCTTGTTGACCAGGATGGTCTCGATCTCTTGACCTCGTGATCCACCCGCCTCGGCCTCCCAAAGTGTTGGGATTACAGGCGTGAGCCACCGCGCCCGGCCCCTTTTTCTTCCTTCTTTCATAATATCATGCCAGAGTCAGGTTGGAAAGTGATATACCAGACCGAGCATAGAAAGTCAACACCAAGACAAACGTATGCCAAATTGCAGGGTTTATTGCCGGCGACCACGGAGGACTCATGTCTCTCCAACCCGTGGCCCTGAAAAGAGGGTGACAAGACTTTTATACCCATAAACCGCCTCCAGGGGTGGGGGTGAAGGGATTCAGACATTCCGAGGGCTAGTGGATTCTGCAAATCACCTTTCCGGACATTTCGAGGGCCAGGGGACTATTTGACATTCTTTTTTTTTTTTTTTTTGAGACAGAGTTTTCGCTTGTTACCCAGGCTGGAGTGCAATGGCGCAATCTCGGCTCACCGCAACCTCCGCCTTCTGGGTTCAGGAAATTCTCCTGCCTCAGCCTCCCTAGTAGCTGGGATTACAGGCACACGCCACCATGCCCAGCTAATTTTTTGTATTTTTAGTAGAGACGGGGTTTCACCATATTGACCAGGATGGTCTCGATCTCTTGACCTCGTGATCCACCCGCCTCGGCCTCCCAAAGTGCTGGGATTACAGGCTTGAGCCACCCCGCCCGGCCCTATTTGACATTCTGATTGTTACTTAAGTGGTTCATAAAATGTAAGGTTAGCATTCGTTTACACATTGTCTGGGTAGGGTGGGGATCACTGTCCTTAATTACTTATTCACATTTGGGTTATAGAGAGCAGTTTCAACAGAAAGCTGAGGTGTGGTTGAGGTGCGCAGGTTTACGGGGCTTTTACCATGTCACAAAAGTAAGTTTTTTTTTTTTTTGAGACGGAGTTTCGCTCGTTACCCAGGCTGGAGTGCAATGGTGCGATCTCCGCTCACTGCAACCTCCGCCTCCTGGGTTCAGGCAATTCTCCTGCCTCAGCCTCCTGAGTAGCTGGGATTACAGGCACCTGCCACCATGCCCAGCTAATTTTTGTATTTTTAGTAGAGACGGGGTTTCACCACGTTGACCAGGATGGTCTAAAAGTAAGTTAAGTAGGTGAAATACAACCCATGTGGTGAGAATTTATGGTTTGTGGAGCATGGTCCCCAGACCCCTTTGATAGGAATTCGGGCAAGATAAAAAAAAAATCAAGAGTTTAGTCCTCACAAGTAAGGGTGCATTGCTTCTGCCAGGAAAGGCAGGACATCTCAAAGGGGGATGGTCATAGGTCATAGTGATTCCAGTGGGCTTCGGGAGGTCCCCAAATGCCAGTGGGACCTAGACCCACACTGGCGTCCAGGCTCTTGACACCACAAGAAGGAATTTCAAGGGCAAGTCAGAAAATAGTGAAAGGGAGATCTACTGAACAGTGAAACGCGTGCTGGACATGATATAGCTCACCTGTGATCCCAGCACTTTGGGAGGCCAAGGTGGGTGGATCACCTAAGGTCAGGAGTTCAAGACCAGCCTGGCCAACATGGTCAAACCCCATCTCTATTAAAAATACAAAAAAGATCAGCCAGGCATGGTGGCGCATGCCTGTAATCGCAGCTACCCAGGAGATTAAGGCAGAATTGTTGAACCTGGAAGGCAGAAGTTTGTGTACTCCAGCCTGGGAAACATGAGCAAAACTCCATCTCAAAAATAAAAAGAAAAGTGGGGCCGGGCGCGGTGGCTCAAGACTGTAATCCCAGCACTTTGGGAGGCGAGGCAGGTGGATCACAAGGTCAAGAGATCGAGGCCATCCTGGTCAACGTGGTGAAACCCCGTCTCTACTAAAAATACAAAAAATTAGCTGGGCACGGTGGCATGTGCCTGTAATCCCAGCTACTCAGGAGGCTGAGGCGGGAGAATTGCCTGAACCCAGGAGGCGGAGGTTGCGGTGAGCCGAGATCGCGCCATTGCGCTCCAGCCTGGGTAACAAGAGCGAAACTCCATGTCAAAAAAGAAACAAAAACAAAAGAAAAGTGAAAAGTACACACTCAAAAAAGGGCAGAGAGGGCACAGACTCAAGAGAGTGCCTTGCAAGGGCTTTGAGGTTGGGGTTTCCATCTTTATGGGTTTCTTTAACCAAAAGGGGGAATATTCATGAGGATGCCTGCAAGGTGAGAACTTGTCAAAACTGAGATCGTAGGGCTGTTGGTCCCACAGGGTCGTGGGGAGTCCCTTATGCTGTGCTGAGGTGCAGGATCCAAGGAGTAAACAGACAGGACACTGAAGAACTGGAGAAGAGCAGCTGGACTCGGGGGGCCACGCCACCTGTGAGCAGAGACAGGCCAGGCCCGGAACGCCCAGAAGAGTCTGTATTTATTAGGTACAAGCAGGGGGCAGGGTCCTGTGTGAGGTCCTCACCTACAGGCTTAGTGACAGGGCAGACGTAATCACGTGAGTCACAAGCGAGGCGGCCACCCCATTATGTCATCTGGGCAGAGAGGTGGGCCGTGCGCAGAAGTAGAGGGTCATGTACAGAAAAGGGGTCCACCCATTAGGTCACCGAGGCAAGGAGGTGGGCCGTGTGAAACAGGTATCCTGCACAACACTTCTTACCTGGGGCTGGAGCCTTCATAGGGTTTCTAGTGGAAGGATACTGTACGCCATTGCGGTGGGAGCTGACAGACTTGTGCTCTTCTCTTAAGATATTTATGGGAGGATGATTTGAGCCAGCACAGAAGCGAGAAAAGACCGACAGGGTGAACAGCCGCCGTGACTGGTCACACCAGAGGGTTCTTCTCCCTCGGTTACTTCCAGGATCTCAGGCCTGAGGCCGACTTTCCACAGGAACTGGATGCAGGTGCCACAGCTCCTCTATCAGGTGGGAAGGCTCCTGCTCCAGGCCTGCCATACAGCGTA